TTAGTTTTGAAGGATGCATGTGAGTTTAGGAAGAAGAGACAAAAATCACAGGAAGACAGAATCCTGGGTGCCAGGTAAGGAAAGTGTTTCAAGAAGAGAGTAATCCCCTGTGTCAAATGTTGCAAATAGATCAGAAAAGTCAAGGGTTCTGAGAATTGTCTATTGGATTTAGCAACATGGAAGCACTAGTGACCTTGACAATAGTAGTTTTGGTGGAGTTGAGGGGGCAAGAGCTTAATTGGAGAAGGTTCAGGAGAAAGGAGGAGATTCCACATTATTTGTCTTTCTGTGGCTTATTTCACTTAGTATAATGTCCTTTAGTTTCATCCATGTCTTCACAAATGGCAGAGTAATAGTCCATTGTATACATATACTACATTTTCTTTATCTATTCATCTATTGATGGACACTTGGGTTCTTTCCAGATCTTAGCTATTGTGAATAATGCTGCAATGAACATGGGAGTACAGATACCTCTTTGAGATACTGATTTCATTTCCTTTGGATGTATACCCAGAAGTAGGGTTGCTGAATCCTATAGAAGTTCTATTTTTAATTTTTTGAGGAACTTCCAGTATGTTTTCCATTATATACTTGAAATTTGCAAAGACAGTAGATCTTAAGTGTTCTTACTACACATACATGCACGCACACAGACACACACACAGGTGGTAACTATGCTAGGTGAAGGATATGGTAACTTGATTGCGGTAATCATTTCACAAAGTGTATATATATACATCTATATTAAATATATTTAAAGTCACATTGCACACCTTAAAAATCATGTTGTACAGCCTTAATGTATAACATTTTTATTTTGTCAGTCATACCTCAATAGAGCTAGGGAAAAAAAGAGAAGGAAGAGAGAAATTGGAGACTGAGAAAAGAAATGAAACTTTAGGAGTTTCTCTGTGAAGAATTTCAGAGAAATAAAGTGTAGTTGGGTGGGTGAAGAGAGGTTCTTTTTTTTTTTTAAGATTGAAGAAATTGCAGTATATTTCTATGCTAATGGGAATCATTAGGTAGAAAGGGAAAAATTGCTGCTACAGGAGAAAGTAAGGGAGGATTGCTCAAAAGATGCTCTTGAGTAAGAAAGAGGGAGTAGGATCCAGTGAACAACCCAGTAATTTGGGATATCCCTAATGTCTACCATCCTTTCATTCGAGCATTCAAAAGAAATTTAATGACTACTTGGTCTGGGTCAGAATCTTTGCCAGGAACTTTCATAACAAAGATATGTAAGACCTAGTTCCTGCCAAAAAGTGGAAAAGCCTATAAACAGATAGCTACAATTTAGTATAATTAAGGATCATATATACCAAAGACACTAAGAAATAGCTAAGGAAGCTCAAGAGAGTAGGCAGTTACCTCTGCCAAAGAACATTGTAGCATTTGTAATAGCACTGAAAATGCTTTATTGTGTAAGGAAGAAGTTGGTTTATTTTCAAGCAGTTCTGTACACTAGTATTAAAACATAGCAATTTAACATTAAAACAGATTGTTAAATCATTATAAGGCACTCCATCATTGTCAGTATTCTTTAATTTCATATTCTCTTTGTGTTTAATTACAGCTAAATATAGTTCATCATTTTTAAAAAGCTACTTGCCATTAATTTCAGAATAAAATTCAAAGTCCAAAAGTATTTATCTTGGACCTCTTCCACATTTATTAGAATACAGTAAGAAACACAGGGCACAATTCCTGCCACTATAGAGACCCCAGTTAGAAAGCTCCAGATGTGCAGCAGATATGAAAAGTCAAGTAACACAAGAATAATTTAACTATGAGACTCTGGCACAGAGATATCACAAAGCTTGTGATAGCATGTTATATGAACTCTATGATTAATAAATGTTTTATCCCTAGAGGAATAAAAATTACTCTAAGAGGAAGCAGTCAGCAAAAATTTTAAATGGGCCTTATCTTCATGTTTTTACTATATTTTTGACTATTATTAACTTTCATTATGAATTAGTAAATACAAGCATTACCACCTAAAGAGATACCTTAAATTTTTCCAGGTTATTTCTCACAGATTTATTATTACTTTTTGTACAATTACATAGGAATGAGTCAGATGTGTTTAATAAGCCCTAAAAGGTCATACAAGCATAAAAATACTTTACATTTATTAATAATAGTGTACATTTGATTAAAATCTAACAATGATGCTTGTAGAACGTTTTCTTACCAACAACACTACAGCGTCAAGCCATAAAGTTCTTTTTCCATTTGAACTTTGCTGTCTTATGAAATTAAAACGCAGCTATACACATGCAGTGGCAAACATTTCCAAGCTGCAATCAAAGATCTATATTTTTGGAGTTAGAAATAATTTAAGCCATTGTCTATTTTTCAGTTTGCCAAAGACTGCTTTTTATATAAGAATGTTACACTGTGTTATTACTTTAGCTATTTTATTAGATCTGTTTCAATATCTTAGCATAATAAAAAATTTATAAAAGCAATGTTTATAAGCAACATTATTTGTTGTAACTAAATAAATAATGCACTTTACGTTTAAGAATACTTACTTTGATTTGCATTGCTAAAATTCATAGTTTTATAACTAGTAAAAGCAAAAGCTTCATGTCCTATAAAAGTAAATTTTAGTTAGGACTTTATCTCAGTTTTTTGGTATACTTCAATATATTGTCCTCAATTTTGTATCAGTAATATACAGTATACTTCTGTTTAAACAGATCACTGTATAAAAAAATCAGTGTTTAAATCTGTAAATATTTTCCCATGGTTAATGATGTAACTAGATATATCAAAGGCTTAATTACATTCCTCAATGACTTAGTTCCATGGGAATCTTAGAGAAGATGACCTGAAATATAATGAATACAATTACTTATTTCACATTCTATGTGTGAAGTGTTTCTTGTTGGTTTTTATGTACATATATTTGACTCCAGAAAACAATCAATTCTTCGAAAAGTTTCAAACTATTTTCTTTTATAGAGAGAGCAAGTAAAACAACTGCTTATTTATTGGATTTTTCCGTTCTCAAAAGACTTTCTTGGTGACGTATGGAAATAGTTTTAGAACAGTTAACTGTTTCAGTTTCAATGCCCATGCTGAAATGAAGTTTATCTTAAAAGCCAGATTCTAAAGAAGTAAGTAGTAGGTATTTTTACAATATAGAATTCATAGCATTGAAAATCTGGAGAGCTGATTCTGCAAAGCAGTTGAACAGACATAACAAAAGGAGACCTTTCCTAAAGCCTTTATGCCACCTGTATAGGCAGTCTGTATTGACCTGCGTCAGCTCACCCAGATTCCCTCTGCAAAATTGCATAGATATACCCCATGAGAATTTTGGAAAATGGGGTGATTAAAGTTGTTTGCACACCTTGAAAGGAAGTCATTAAATAACATTCCATTTTTTGGCTCATTATTAATTTTATCATGTCTGGTTCATCCTCAGACTTTCAAATAGCTTAGGAAAATTACTAAGTAAACTATATCAGCATACATAATAAAATGCCATAAGGTTGGCACATTTTTCTTAAGAACACAATGGGAAAGAAGTAATTTAACAGATTTTTTTAAACTACCTGTAATATTCATAGCAATTTGATTGAGAAATTTATCTGGGCGAGGAAGAAAGTGAAGAGAGCATATGGTGACCTAAAGGTGTTGGAAAGTGGGAAGATGGGTAGATAAAGGAAGAAGGATTGTTGGACTTGAAGTGCTGTAGGGAGTGTGCTGAAAATACAGAAGGTGGTAGTTGCAAAGTGAGGGTATTGAGAGGGATTACAGCTTTTGCAAGTGATGAGATTAAACATAAGACCATAAGAATGGGTAGGAGGGAACATCAAGAAGCTGAGAGTCCAGACTATGGGAGGGTGAATTCACCAAAAATCATGGCAGAGGTAGTATTTGAGTGCTTAGGTTTGAACCCTGCTACTACACACTTACCAACTGAGTGTCCTTGGGCAAGTTACATAACCTGTCCCAGGTTATTCATCTGGTAAAATGAAAGTAATAGTGTATTTCTCATAATTATGAGAATTAAACAATTTAATACATATAAAACCCTTAGATAGTATGTGGCATATGTTAGTACTATTATGATAATCATAATCATCGTTATTATTATGATCTAGTCTCCTGTGAGTCTTTACTTTTCATTCATTCCAAACTTACTAGGCAACTATTAAACGTCAAGCATTGTGCTAGGTATCCTTTTTAAACTTTTGTATGGTTTTCTTTTGGCTGTTTTGTGCTTCAGAAATTTCAAGTTGGTCAGAAATAGTACATTGCAGCCTCACCAAAAAGTTATCCTTAAAGTCTATGCCATGAGTTCTGCTTGCTAAATGCTGTTAAATAAGAATACAGACCCAGAGGGAAATGGGACAGACCAAACTAGTGATTACTTGGATCTGGAAACTAGAGTTTACAACAGCAAAAGTGATGCTTGGGGCAGACCCAGTTATAGGCCAGAAAAGCAAATCTAGCCATACTGCTGAAGCATGGTGGTATCCAAAATGTAGGAGTTTAGGAGGCAGTGAAGATGGGAAATTAGTATTGTAGTGTTCCAACATGAAACAATGGGTTACTGTTCTGGCAGGCAGGTTAAACACAAGGGGCTACTATCTTGGAGATTGGCTATCAAGATTTAGACTCTTGGGCATTGGAGAATAAGACAGAGATCCAGTTATTGAAAATGATGTCACTAAAATAATGATCCTCTTTGTAAAGGACCACACTCTTAATTAAAATCTGGGGCTCCAAAGAGAGCAAACCTAAGCTGTTCTTTATTATTTATAAAAAGTGCCTTAAGTTTGCATTATAACCTGGCCAATTGCCACAGGCAGTTTCACCTTCTGGCTCAAAACACACATATTTTTCATCTACACAAATGCCAACCATAATGTTGCATATGAGTGAGTGTGTTTTGCAGACTGTAGCTAAAAGTCAGTTTAAGTTTGAGCGGACATGGGGAAGAAAAACAATGTGATGTGAATTTTGTTCTCTGTGTTTAGGCAAGCTACGACCTATATCTATGCCAGTGGAATATAATTGGGTGGGGGACTATGAAGATCCAAATAAGATGAAGAGAGATAGTAGAAGAGGTAAGTGTTCTAGAATTTCAGTGTAGGCTGGGTTGTTGAAACAAACAGCAAATTTAAATGTTCTTTAAATAGGATGTTATGGCTTCAGTGGAAAACTTTTCATTCTCTCTTTGTCTTTATGGTATGCCCAAACCAACTCAGACCAATCTTTAACTATCTTGATCTGTTGTTAAGTAGATATCTTCCCTGAATGCCTTCTCAGGGATTCAGGGTAGATAAGTAACAGTGTAAAAAATTAATATCTGATTGTTATTTGGAAGTTAATATTTGGAAAACAAGGTCAGAAGTGTGAAACTGCATTAAAGAATTAAGTTCAGTGAATAGGAAGACTTTGTGATCAGTCCCCATTGGTCCGCAATGCAACCTCACTACTTTTGTATTAATATAACCTTGAAATGAGTTTTGAAGCACATGGGTAAAAGCTAATAGAAACTGGGCCAGTGAATCTAATGAAAACCACATAGAAATGGAAAAAAAACTGCTTTGCTTTTTTTTCTCTTCTGTTTGCTGTTCAGGGTTATCTTCTTACTTGGGGGTGGGCTACACTTGAAGTATCTACCAAAAGTAAGTTTTTATGTTCACTTATCCTATTGAGGTGAGCAGTGGAGAGAGCAACAGGAAGTCTCACTACTAAATAGGATTCAACCAAGTGTGAATATGGTGGACCCAGTGGGTCATGCTGCTACTTCCATTTTCTGAAATGAGATCCATAAGGTTGTAGATGAAAATAAAATAAATCAATACAAAGCAAAAAACTGTTCATAGAACCTAAGCTCATTAAGCTTCCTTTATGTTTAACCCATTTGCATGTTATTTCTAGCCAGTGTACAGAATTTATTTAATGCATAGATCCACAGATTACACAGGGATAAGCAAGCATGGATATCTGCTTCTTTAGTCTTAACATTTGTTTTATAGAGTGAGCATTTCTGAAAATGTTGGTAAATATAGGAACATTGACAGATTCCTTTACATCTGTATATTAGCTCCATTTCCCAAACTTCAGTTTCTAACCTCATCTGTTTTATAGAATTAAGAAAAAAATAAAAACAGAAGCACTTATGCCACTCTGAGTCACTTTTTTGGGACTTGATATGATAGTGACATCTTGAGGAAAAAAAGCCCTATGAAGTACTTACTGTAAGTGCTGGCTATCAATTTAAGCTTAGATTTCATAAGCTAAGTTTCCTCACTATTGGTCCATAATGTGGGCTTTAACTTCTACAAGGATGCTCCCTAGCCTACCACAGGTCAGTGTTTGTCATCCTGTGTGTCATTTTAGCAGAGTCTCCCTGGGGGTGCTTGTCAAAAGTTTTATGAGACACATACCCAGAACTTTTGATTCAAGTTCTACAGGTGATTCTGATATAATTGGTTCAGAGCTGAAACTTGGAAAAAGAATCTATAGGCTATCTATTTCTTATTGCCCTATGATCCCAAATAATTAAGATCCACTATATTTTCACTATATAGATATTTTATAAATTAAATCAAGTTACATTTCTGAAATGAAATCTAATAGCACAATTAGGAAAGAATGGGAAGTTTGGAATATTTGCATATTTACATTGGTGTATTTATCTTTTTTTATATAGAAAACTCTCTACTTCGATATATGAGCAATGAAAAAATTGCTCAAGAAGAATACATGTTTCAGAGAAACAGCAAAAAAGACACAGGGAAGAAGTCTAAAAAGAAGGGTGATAAGAGTAGTAGCCCGACTCACTATTCATTGCTACCTAGTTTGCAAATGGACGCATTGAGACAAGACATCATGGGCACGCCTGTGCCGGAGACCACACTGTACCATGTAAGTAAAATTTCAAAGACTCTGTAATAACAGTTTTATTGACAGACTGGCATATGACTCTTTGGGATAAATTCCAAATTACTTATTTTTATCCTCTTGCCAGATTTTTGCAAAAGATCCTTAACTGAGAGTTCATGCCCTCAAAAAAATGATGGCTATTGATTTGTTCTTCAGTTCGTATATTCAATGAGTTTATATGTTATAGCAGGTTACATTTTTAATGAAACAACTTAGTATGCACCGAATTGATGGAAAGTAATAATTAGCTGATTAATCATCAGTGTGATAATACACAGTAAATGAATAGCTATAAAATTCAACATTAAAGAGGATTTTTAATATATTCATGATTTCATTTAAAAATGTGTATCTACTATGCAGTAGACTTGGATCATGGTGCTCGAGGTGAAAATGGGAAGACGTAGCATACTGTTATATGGAAAGAAAGAAACACCAACAGTCCCAATACAATTTGGAATGGGTGGGTGCAAGAAGTGTAGAAGGAATGTAGGAGAAGGAGAGTCTTGGCCTTCTTGGGAAGTGAGAAAAGGCTTCAGAATGGGGAGCATTTGGGCAAAGAGTGAAAGATTAGTAGCCGTATTTTTGTGAGAAGACATATGGAGGTGTGCCACAAATGTGGGCAGATAAGACATGTTCCAGGGACTTCATGTGGCTCAGAATTACTTGTTCATAAAAAAAATTGAAGGTCGACTATACTTCAGCTGAAAAACACACCACAGAACATTGTAAACTGACTATACATCAATTAAAAATATTGAGGAAAAGCATATGAGAAGGGGTAGTAGATGGGCCTAGAGGGGTAGGCAGGGCTTAGATCGGGAATTTTATGATAAAGTACTTAGGCTCTTGCCTGCAGTGATAAAGAGATATTGAAGAATTTTGACCTGGGGACTTAAGTGATGTGATTGGCCCGTTGGATCTCTCTGGTACAGAACATAGATCAAGAAGTATGAGGCCAAAGGCAGGGCCATTAAGCCCAGGCAGATGGATGGTGAGAAACTAGGACAATGGCATTGTGGAGGCTGAGAATCCTGTTATCCAGGACATTAAATTCACACAATAAACCCATTTTATGACATTTTGGTTAAAAGAGAGTTTTTTGTGCCAGTGGGACTATAGCTTCTTCTTAGGAGCCCTTCAGAAACATGGACTACAGGTTTTTAAGTAACTTGAACAACTATACTTAGTGCTCAAGTATCAAAAAAATTTAATCTGTTACTGCTATCAAAAGTAGACCATCTAGATATACAAGGTGTGAAAGATATAATAACTTATACTTGAATTGTTTTTCTGAGTAAATCTTTTAAATCACCTATTTACTTATTCTGTAGCTCTCTCATAAAACTAAAGTGTAGAAAAACATTTTCATTTATTTTGGGTTGAAGTAGGAGTGTAGTTAGCACTGTTGGGGGCTCTTTCTCTACCCTCTCCTGTCCCCAGTTAAATACTCCCAAGCCTCTTCCTCTCCAAGAGAATAGTATCCATATCAAAACCTGCTCCTTTAAATAACTGACAAGTCAGATTATTCTTTTTTTCTACAGATATTTGCAGTCATTCTGAAATCCATACTCATGGCTGTATGATAGGGGCCACTTTTGCTATCACTAGTCAGAAATGCTGTCTTAAGGCTAAGCTCCCTCTCTAATCCAGTGTTCCACTCAGAAGTAATAGCCTGAATGGAGATCTAAACATTAGACAGCCGGCCCATTCGAGAGCGAAGATGATAGTGAGAGATCAGGCTAGAGAGGGAAGAAGAGGCCACTTTACCTGGAGTGTATAAACTAGTAAAGAGTTTGAATTTATCGTAAGAGGAGCCGTAAGCCATTGAAGACTCATTTAAACATTCAGCCTGTACCATTCTGCCATGCACATCTGAACAGGAGTATACTGTGCAAAGAGGAAAAGTGGATGAGTCGTGTGTATTTAGAGTTATTAAATTATGGAAGATAGTAAAAAGTGAAACTGGTAATCAGGAATCTTGTGTGTTGTTGAGGAGTATAAATTGTTACCATCTTTCTGAAGGGCATTATTTAGTTACATGTATCAAAAGCCTGGTCTAGTAACTTCACTTCTAGTAGTTTATTCCAAGAAAGAAATCAGAGGGCCTACTTTTGCCTCCTACTTTTATTCTGTGTCCTGAGTCTGTAACATGGTATTTTCCAGATAGATGATATTTATCTCAACTAACTTTTGACAGAGGGACAGCACAGGGTAAGGAATATTGTTATTCATGGGGGAAGTCCTCCCATGTAACACTGGCCCACTAATTTCAGAATAGAAGGCTGAACATTTTCTAACTATTCTATGGTTTAAGAGAAGCTAAATAATTGTTAGCCCCAAAGTACATGTTAGATGCCTGTTAACTAACCAGTGTTCAAAAAGAAAGAACTTTCATTGTTGGGTTTTTTATTAGACTCTTTAGTTCCTTTGAGGACATTACTTGCACTTATTTAGTGCTTTCACAGTTATCAAGGGAATTTCCACATTTGTTATAGCTTTTGAACCTCACAACTATATTTGCAAATGATGAAACTCAAATTCGTTAAGTTAAGTGGTTTACCCAAAGCTGTGTTGGAAAAAAAAATGTCACAGTAAGGACTAGAACCCAGATCACCTACTCCAGGGGTCTTTCCACTCTCTGCTTGGTCCTCCATGCATAGTAGGCATTGCATACACAAAAAAAATTGTGCTTTAATGACTAAATGAGTGAATTTTCAAAAAGTTTGACTTGAAGAAACATGTGCACTCATATGTTGATTTTAATAACATTTTCAGTAACTGGATTGATTTCTACCCAGGCTTCTCTGTTGCTCTATGTTACTATTTTTTATTAAGTTCATAAAAACATACAGAGCTGCAGCTGTTATAAAGCACAAGTAGTTACTCAGCGTGATCTATTGCTGAAACTACAGAGTATTATAGTTAAAACTGCCTGGACCTTGGAGACAAAATAGCACATACTTAAATGATTGCTTTTTATATTTCACAGGAATTTTTGTTTTATTTTTTATCTGTATGTACATAGTTATATCAAATAAAAAGATGTTTCCTTATGTTGATTTTCCTAAAACACCAGATCACTATCAATATGTAATGCAGTCACATTCATGGCAAACCATTAGTCTTCTTTCTTACCATTAGTTTTCATTCTTACCAATTATTCCTTTGGATAACACAACTATTTTTGATAAAATGGGACTTAAGCTGAAGAGGACTATAAAGATTGAATACTGAGTTTCATAAGCTGCTATTTCTGCTGTAATACTAGCTTCATGTGGTCTGAGTTCCAATTTAAACAAAATCTAGTTGAATTTAATAGAAGGATCATATCAGCAGTAAATACCCTTAAACAGTTTACTAAAGGTGTGTGTGTGGAGAATATTTCTTCTAAGCAGATCTAGATTACAATCCCCGTTAGTCTGTTCTAGAAAGCAGCACAATGAAGATACACAAAGCCAGGCAAATACAGTTTGACTTCAGTGTGACTCATTTCTGCTAGCAATTATAGCAGAAATGTTTATATAATAATAAAGAAGATTTTAAAGTTTATGGTATTATAAAATACATAATTTTAAAAATTAACCCCATGTATCTGTTATTCAGTTTATGTATTTTTCTTAAATTTATTTGGAAGGAAATTGTTCCCTATGCTCTAACTACCCTGATCATCCACCAGTCTTCGCCACCTCTTTTCTTTTTGACATGTTCTTCCCTCTACTGACAGTGTTTCTATCCCTTCTTTTCCCGTGGCTGACTCCTTAACCTGAAATTGCAGAGAGACTTTCCCTGATCACTACCCCCTAAACTAAATCAGTTTCTCCTATTATAGTCTCTTAGCACCCTGTATATTTATTCAAAAACTTTCTTATGGTTTGTAATTATCTATTTATTTGTGTGATTATCTGCTTAGTGTCTTTCTTCACTGTACATGGCAAGGAGGGAATGTCCATGGGAGGGAAAGGATAGTTTCTCCATTTTGTTCAGCACTATGTTTCAATACCTAGTCTAGGTCTAGTACCTTATAAGTGATTAGTAAAAGTGTGATGAATAAATGAAAAAGAGTGAGTGAATGTGACAGGAACATCGTTGCCTTCGTCTGTATCCCTCAGTTGTTGTCCTCAGCCTGCAAAAACAGAGCCACCTCCATGTCTTAGACCAGCCCTGCCTGGCACAAGCAGGCCTTCAGTTGGAGTGTATTCATAGTGGGAATCACAAGGAACTTATTGCCATAGGCTCCATGTCCCATGTGCCTGGGGAGAGCCTAGGGCTCTGAATGTCCTCTGTCATGTTTGTCTAGTCCACATGACTAAATTCTACTTTCTTTTATCAATTAACTTTCCATTTCATTCCAAAGATTGGAGCCCTGCCCTTATTGGCCCCTCCTCCAAGGTGTTTGGCTGATTTACTGATACCAATGACAGACCATGTGGAGCCTAACTCTGACCACCCACCCACTTAAAAGAGTATTGGAAGCATCTAGTAATTTACACTCACCATGTTGGACTCCCTATCAAAGCAGGTCCCAGTTTGCACCTTTACTCTTCTCTGCTCCACAGATGTCACCAGTGCAGCAGGATTAGCTCCCCCTCAGGCTCGCCTCTGCTCTAGCTCAGAGCTTCAAGTCCACCTAGTTCTTGCTCTCTTCCTATCACTGCCCTCTCACTATGGAGATCCCAGTATGCCTGTCAGCCAAGCATGTTACAGCATTTTGCAAAAGAGTATGAATTTGTTATACCTACTCAACAATTCTGTCTGAAAATGTGGGAGTTGTTAGCTGCCAGAGCCCTCGTCTGACCTGAGAGCATATGAAGAAAAAGCAGACAGCAGTGTCTGTGTGCATGTGTGTGTTGTGAAATCCAAATGTCGTGATAAAAGCCTTTAGATAAAGAATCATTAGATTCAGGATTCATTTTTGGCCTTATTATTATATACACATGACACTTTACTCTCACATTAAAGCTGATGAATTAAATCCATAA